GCACCACTCCTTGTCGGCTGTCCGATCGTTTAAAGTGTGACAGAAAACAAAATGCTTTTCGCCGAACCTGGTAACCGCGAGATCTCGCCCAATCACGTGGACGCGTGTCAAAAGTGCGTGCTCGCATTTGGAGAGGCTAAGGTTCTAACCCAGTCGGTAACTGGATGCGGGAAACCAACACATCTGTAACTTTATGAAAGTTAAAATGTGCTACGTCTTATTTCTCAGCATCGATCGACCTGTGTCTAATTTCTCATCTATTACCAAACTCCGTATGCGTAGTTTGTACACAAAATTGATTTTCGAACTCTGTCTATGCTGACAAGCCCAGAGCGACCTGCTATTACCACAGTAGAGCTATTAGGTCGTCTATAATTCTACTTTGCTACCAGCTGATCGGAATATCGCATTTTCTCTGTTCAAAAACAAAGAATAAGGACAGAAAACAAATCTGTGGCTGGAGAGAAACTGCGACCTCAGGGCAAAACAGACACGGACGCTATTTGGCATAAAGTAAAGAGGGCTCTGACGTCACAATATGACGGGGATTATGACTCTTTAAAGGCAGATTAAGTTGCACTAATCGCATAATGTACGTGCGCCGTTTGAGGTGCAAGAGCGAAAATATCACACACATAATGGCGCAGTGTGGTTATGGTAGCTTTCTCCTACGTGAGAAAATGAATGTGGATGATGAGGCGAAACAGTGAGCTGCTGAATCTCGCTTTCGTGATGATGATTATGACGAACCTTCGAGGTCCCAGCAACTGTTTCATTCAAGCGAGTAAGTATCATTTGCTCAAAGACCATCTCGTCACAAAGCAAGTCCGTTATTTAGACGTAAGCAGTTAAGAGTCTTTTTCCCCTCCTGATCCTGACCATCAGGTACATTAACATTTCTAAATAGTCCTACAAAGTGAAGTTCTGCGCCACGAACAAAATCATCAATCTTCATCAGGACAAAGGACCGAAGAAAACAGATTCGAAATTTACAGATGCAGCCCTCCCTCACGTGTCCAGCATCCACTGCTTCTAAGTGACGATGCCAGATATTTGCTGCTTTCTACACCGATATGTCACTGTTATTTCTTGTTGCCAGAACAGACGACACCGACTACCGAAGTCACGTTATTAAGACAGTTCCTTTCCATTGATGGAAGGTAAACGAGCTTATTTACATACTTTCGTTAGCTGTCACATACGCAATTCCTTAGAATCGCACGGAAAATAATTACAACTCGTTGAATTTTCCTCTCTGCATCTGAAGCCTATCTGTCATTGTTTTTGACTTGTTAAATATTCTAAGCCAAGAATCTACCGTCTTCTTCAGCAATTCCTGACCTTCCGCATATTTATCAAAGTCATCTCATTTCTAAAATGTCTCCATTAACCATTAAAATACAGCTCAGTCCGCAGCTTAACTATCAGAAAATTGTTAGTACACAGGATCCTTTTTCTCGCTACATATCGGAACTCTCCTCCTTCGGATTTAAATTTCAGCTTTTCGCAAGATTTCGGTAAACTACGTGCTGCATAATTGCTGTTCCCAACTCATGATTCAGACGGCCAACTTCTCTCAACGGAGAATACGTAATGGCATTTAAACTTGTTCCATTCAGATTAACTTTTCTGAGCCGAATTTTCGAAACATCGAACTGATGACTGGCTCTTGTCTTCGTCACAAGCACAGCGCAGTCCCGATGCTCTACGGTCACTGCACGGTCTGTGGGTCACGAGTATCTGGGTCGCTAGAACACGCGTTTCTTAAACAAAATTACAAGTTTAAATTTGTAATTGCGTCACTTTCCAGAGGTTTCACTCGCACATTCCGCTGTTTGGTTTATCCTCAGTGACTCCGTTTTATCCCAGTTTCAGTCGAATGACTGAAATACTTTTCTCCAATTTTAAATTTACCTTTATCATTGTAATTACGTTAACCAAGATTCCGTTCTTACCCCAAAATAAATCATGGAACGTTTAATTTAAACTTGTTCACGTTCCTTGCTCCGAGGTCAAAAAGAGAACTCATAACGAGGGCCTCACGTGACTTAGGCTATCAGGCAGTTTCATATATGAAATTACTTAAAAAATGTTGTATCAGAGTTTACACTGAAAGTCACCTGGAAAATTTAATTTTAATATAAACGTAAATTCTAAACTGACCAAAATCCCCCCTCCCACCCAAAGAATCTGTTGATCGTGAAAAACACTTGTATGTATCGGCTTCTTAACGTCGTATCATCAGCGACATCTTGCGACTGCCAGTCGACAACCTCCCCTCCTCCCGTCCTCGCTGTGCCACTGTCTTATGGTTCCTTCCATCCACCTAACCTTCGGCGAGTCATAACCACACTAACTGCGTTGTTTTATGTCACAATTGTGTAAACCCATTTTTGTTAATTTTTATATTTTGTGTTCTTAACAATTCGCAGGCGCCAGGAATTGCGTGGCTCAGCTGCCCTCTTAAACCAGCGTCAAAGTCTCCGGACGATAAGAAATGGGATACGAGGTGAACGGCACTCAACCGCAGAGCGAACAGCCGTTCCTACTGTTCTCCTAACTTTCTCAAACTTCTTTTGTCATCAGATCATCTTGTACAATGCCACTGAAATGCACACAACAAGAATCTGAAAGGACGTACATGTTACTCGCAGAGTAATTTGCTTATAAGATGACTCAGGGCTTCGTTTCTTTAACATTCCTTGTCTTCACTTCACGGGCAAAGAGAAATTCAGAGTGAAGGCCGATTCGTGTTCGGGACTACAATAACTTTGCTGTTCCTGCAGATTATTTCAGCTTACGAACTAACGTGATTCGTCACTTCCCTACATTTCTTTAAGAATAAATCTCAGATTTGTACAAGGTACCGTGTTTAATTATGTATTTAGTTTTCATCTGCGGTCTCAGATTTAGTTGTGACCTTCTCTGTCAGTCGCGGCTCTTTTAAAATATTTGAACTTATTTTTCTGAAGCCTTCAATATTTTTTCTAATAATTCCTGAAGCTGAAGATCTAGGTAAAGCTTTCAATATTTTTTCTAATAATTCCTGAAAGTCTAAATTCGTATAAGTGAGGAGTGAAGATACTATTTCATCTCTAGAAGATACATTTCCTGTGAAATGTCCTTATATTAAAATTATTCCAACCACTGAAAGTGAGATAAAAGTATAATACATTCCCTAAAATCAAAGAACTCATCAGGATTTAATGAAGTAACAAGTAAAATTTGTAGTCGCTCGCTACACGCCATCTTCCCAGACCGTCTTAAAATCTCAGTAGTAAAAGACACTGTTAACTACTTTTTCCCAAAGCACTTGAGAAGGTTACGCACAACGGCGCACGCTAACAAAATATTGGTCCTGGAAGAATTTGGCTCCAGGAACGGAACATCCGCCGAAGATGCAGGGGGATATTCTGTGATTTAGCATGAAATTTTGTTAATTAAATTACATTTTTATGACATCCAAGCAACAACTGCAAAACGGTTCAGATCCTGTCCAACAGACAGAAAACAAAACCTCCTTTTCATATTATACATAAATGACTTACGAAACGTGAAATTAACAGCTGATTACGAGTGTCGTAATTGCTAGTAAGAATGTTGATGACTTCTGAACACGTCGTATGAGAAAATGGTTCAAAGCCAAGTTCACCCCAAATCTAGACAAGACAAATGCAATACACTAAAATTTATGCACAACAATACGCCTTAAGTACTGCTTATAAATGGAAATTACATATGAGGGCCACAAAAACAAAATTTCTTGATTTTCAAACCGATAATTACATGAACTGGAAGAATCATTTTGCCAAATGGTTCTGAAGTCAAGTGCAGTTTCATGCCGGCAACACTGACGAACTCAAATCAATTAACTTTGCCTATTTTCACTCTTCAATGAAGTGTTTTTTTTTTTGGGGGGGGGGTGTGATTCATCCAACAGCGAAAAGATGTTCACTTTTCAAAAGAAATTTGTGGGGTTAATGTGTGGTGAAAACCTAGAAATTCATGGAGACATTAAGAGATCTAACCTCTTCCATGTTAATAACTACGAACATTTTCAGACAAATTCCGCAGTACAGCGTGAACACTGGGAATAAAAATCAGCTTCCAGAAAAATTCATTCCAACAACCCAACGTCTGGTGTCATGAATCTTGTGAATAAAAAGTCACAATTTAAAGTATCATTAAAAAGGTACTTATATCAAACTCATTTTACTCTGTTGAGTGCTTTTAAAGGTTCACTTACATTTGTACCACAAAACGGATAGTATAATTTATTTGCTGTATACGTGCGGATTTATTTGAAACAGCTCATTACTTCACGTTAAATATTTATTTATTCCATATGAAAAGTTTATGACTGTTTTAATTTCACTTGTATTTGACTTATTCCACACCCTCTTCTCAAGTAACTTATGGGTCCAAGGAATGTATGTAATTATTAGGTTGAGCAGTTCTTCCAAAATAAAGTTGTAACTAACGGTGAGACTAACAGAACCTTAACGTAAATTAAATTTGCAAATGAAAAACCTTATTTTCTTTCAAACATTAATAATAGATATTATTTTGATTCTGAGACTTTTTTCGCATACGTACAATGTAGAAGGCGGGTGGTGGGAGAATTTGATTCAATTGACTTCATATAATGTAGCATTCTGACACATAACCTAAGCTCGGATAATGGGGACTGTACTGTACCATCAACTCCCAAGAGTTATAGCGGGACAGCGTTTACGTAAAACTGCTTTATTTCAGCATCTGCTGTTCCACCAAGCGTTCAAATAGTTTCCTTTCATATAAAAAAGGAAAAAGTTTCAATATGGTTACCACGTAAACATGTCCCTGAATCTGAGGTTTCCTTATAGTTTATCGACCTACTCGGCGTCCTTAACCTGTCACTATTTGGGTGTTATTTAAAGTAACACAGTTGTATATATTACATTGTAATTATAAATATGATGCAGGCATGCTCTGAGAAAAGTTGATATTTCTGTACTTACCAGCCATATCCCTACGCCTGACGAACTCGAAAGAAACGCCCAGTCTCTAAAGCAGATATTCTGCATCACTCACAAATCTTGTACTGTCTCTACAGCCAACAATAAAAGAGATAAAAATAGTCACATTTTAAAAGTCAAAACAGCACATAGCACAACACTGTCTTGTGTTCTGTAATTTGCTGCACAGACTATAACAAATCCTAGTCACAGAACTGACTACAATCACTTGTAACAAATTATTTTAAGGTTACGGCACGACTGTATGACGTGCCACCCACACGTGAAGCTTCACTGCTTACCGCACCGATTCGGCCAATCACCTGCGTCTTATCAGAAACCAACAACCCTTACTGCCAACCTTGCCAAAGTTACATGCACCAATTTTCTCAGTACAAGTTAAGAAACACGAATAAGCCAAGAATGTCTTGAAAGAGTTCATTACGCATTACGAACCCACATGAGATCATAGGTTTACTGAAATTTATTTTTCTACGCGTGCATATCGCGCAAAGAACGCATAATAACCGGATTATTTGCGTCCAACTCAACACAATGAGTTGGCTGCGCGTGAGGGTTTCTTTCCCACAATGTCCGCCTACGTGTCGCTACCTTCCACTGTGCTGGTAGTTCTCATGTGGTCAGAACCAGTCTGAAGACCACGTACGATTGACGTTTATTAACGAAAATCGAGATATTGTACCTCATTTATGCAAGTTCTGTAATCTATAAGCCGTGTTTAATCTATTCTAATTCGGTTTTAAATACCAGTTTCCTCTGCGGTTAAATTAAATTGTATTCACATCTTTTATTAAATCATCCGTGAATTTGACCAGCTATAGTGCGTGTGGCAATCATTACCATCTAAAGATTGCGTTCACTTTACTTAAATTTAAAGGTTGCTGAAAGGGGCTGAATGAACTTTAGTATTGCTTAAATCTTCTGTTTCTTGAGAGGACATTATGATAAAACAGATGGTAATGCACTTACGTACATTACGTGGGTATAATTTTCATTAACTAATTCATTTTAGCATACGGGTCACTTCTGATTTCAAGGATGTGTTCCCAAATTGCACGCCATTTAGAGCAATTTTCGGAAAAAATCTCTGATTGGTGATTCCTGTGCTACAAGTTCTTCTTCAGAAAGGTGAAGGTTCATAGTCGGCCATAACTCCCATGCAGGTGTAGTGTTTTTGTGTGTCTGATCTGTAGACCTTTTTGTATTAGGTTGTGACGACTCAGTCACACTTTCAACATAATAGATCCAATGTGCTAACGTAACACAGATAACCTGGTTAAATAACGCAATTTCGCAATTATATCGACACGACACCACGAAAAATCAAAGCTGTCATTAAAGAGATTTTTTGTCAAAGGAATGAGCTAATTTGTCGAGAATACTGAGGCGGCTTATGTCGTAAGTTTAAACACAGTTCTGGTGCTGCTGTACCTACTTTCACGGGCCAGGCCTCCAGGTCATTTTCCGTTTAATTCTGATCTCGCATGACACACGTAACCCTAGATGGAGGATCGGTCTGTCGCAAGCGCTCTGCCACCACAGGCAACCCGAACCGCTATTTGGATTGGAGAACGCTTAAGAAGTAATGTTCCGCATAAATATGTTGCAGACATGATGGAATTTATGCAGATTTACTTAGCATGGGATTTATGTGGTGTATCTGATTGTGTTACTCTACCGAATAATATTAGGATATCAAATCAAGGAGGCCGTGGCACGTAGCATGCCTGGGGAAGATAAGAATCTTAGCAGGGAAGCCTGAAGATCTAGTCTTGCAAGCGGTGGGAGGATGATGTTAAAATCACCATTGAAGATACGGCCGTACATGTAACTCAGGACAGGGTCCCGTGGCGACTTCAGGTGAGCGCGATAGTAGACCTTTGGTTACACAAAAGACGAGGCACAGCTCCGCGGCTACCAGTGAGGAATCTTTTTCACGTGACCGACACGAGTTCCCATTCAACTTAATTAATTGGGTGTAGCTTCAGCCGTCAAACAACCAGAGACGTCTCTGTTTCTGGTATGCGATCATGTGACTGGGGCCCCAGTGCCCAGTAATTGTAGCACGGAATTACTCGTGAGTATCAGTCTGGTACCAGTAATCATGTACATCTACTGAGCGGTGTTGCGTGATATTAAATTAAATTAAACATTCCATCTAAACAAGTTCTTTTTTTTTCCCTGTTGGACGCGTATTACGTCATCTTTAGGCCATATTTCATCGTCGCAAAAACTACAGTGCGTGCCGCTGCGATCTGATTTATTCTGTAAAAAAAATATTTAAATTCTAAAATTAGCTCAGATGAAACAATTCATTAATACTATAAATATTTCGATTACGCGTATTTTTCAAAGCCTCTGCGTCAAATTTTCCGTGTCTGGATTAATTTATAAGATCATATGAATGTCTGTCCTTTCGTGTATCGTCAGTTCCCTTGCAGTTTTATAATCAGCTTCAATAAGGTAGTTATTGAGCCCAGACACATGAAGAGCGACGCATTTCTCTTCTGGTGCTAACAAAACTTTGTTTCCTCCTTCGCTCTCCGACTCGCAGCTTTCGTTGGGCCGTCCCTAGGTGACAATGACGATGATCTTACCGGTGCGTTGCAGGTCGACATGGGGTGCAGGTTCACGTGTGTGGACAAGGCGCTCCACATCTCGTTCTACCACCTGGGGCTCATCGTCGGACGACACCCGGGTTACTTCCTCATTGTGCCGATCCTCCTCACACTTCTTTGTGTCACCGGCTTCCAAAGGGTCAAGTACGAGATGGACCCGGAGTACCTCTTCAGTCCCTTGAGCGGGGAAGGCAAAGTGGAGCGAGCCATTGTGGAGTCTTACTTCAAACCAAACTACACCAGCAGGTTCAACGTGGGTCGCATCACCAGGCCAGGTAAGCAACCATAAGATTAGCCCCTCCAGTTTGCATGTCTACCCTCCTACACTTAAGCAATCACGGGTACTTCGGAAAGAAACGCTTTCGAGCAAGAATTGCGCGTACTTAAGCAATCGCGGGTACTTCGGGAAGAAACGCTTTCGAGCAAGAATTGCGCGTCTATTTTAAGTAACTCACGCGCTTGGATCTACGTGCGGTGCCTGCAGCGTTTGTCATTTGTCACTTGTACTACCAAAACGAATCTGTAAAAGGCGTCGTCCAAGTTATGCCTCCACCACGTTTGTATCTGCTCAGATATAAACAAAAACTGTTGGAAACTTTGCACATTATTTATAATCCGATAATCTTCAAAAGTCCTTCTTGTTGCGATGTTTCATTAGTTGTAGCCAAAAAAAAAACTTCTCGAACGCGCTGTTGTTTTACGTTTTACAAGAATCTAAAAACAGTTGTTTATATTTTAAAGAACTGTTTCTGAAGTAACCACTGGAATCTTACTGCAGAAGCTACCCTAGTGGCAAATGCAAATTAACGTTCCAGGTTTAATGAAAATAAGAAGTCAGTTAAGACGGCAGACATGATAAGCGTAATTAACTCCATGAGGCAAAATCCCTCCTGATGAAACCAGAAGTGTAGGCTAAGCAAGATTCCTTGCGCCAGGGCGATTCGGGCGGGTGATCGTGGTTCCAAGACACGGGAAGGATATGTTGAAGAGCGAGATCTGGCACGAACTGCGGCTGCTGGACCAGTTGATCCAGAACGAGACAGTTCACTGGGACGAGGAGGAGACGTTCACCTACCGGGACGTGTGCGCGCGGTGGGTGGACGAATGCTTCCAGAACGACGTGCTGAACCTCGACTACGTCATCGAAGAAGTCGAGAACCGGACCCTGAACCTCACGTTCCCCATCATGTTCAACCCCGTGACGTGGGACGCCCACGCGTTCCCAGTCTACTTCGGGGGCACCGTCGTCAGTGAGGACGGGCTCATCATCAGCGTGCCCTCCGTGCAGTTGGTCTACTTCGTCACCGCCGACACCAAGCGGCAGGATGCAAGGTGAGTCACTGACTGACATTCTTGAAAAGCTCACAGTCGCTCAGCTGGTAGAGAAGCTCCCTCCCAGCCCGTTCCAGTTCTTCGGAAGCCTCCTTCCATATCCCGTCCAGTTCATCGTTCATTAATCATCCTAGCATTTAACGCTACATAATACGAGCCACTTACAGCTTTGCTGAATAAAGCAGAGTAAACGCCCACAATCTACCGCGTCTTCGTTTTCTTGGCGTGCAAAAGTGCGCGTTTCAATCCTTAAGCGGCGACGGTAAGACAGAAGAACCTTAACCAGCTGGCTCGCGCCAAGCGTTCGCCACATTCGATACTTAAAGCGACCATCCTGTTACCAAGTCGAGTGTTCAGCTCAACGTTCCGGCTTCCTTACCTCGATATCAATTACTCCAGTGCATAACAAAATGCCCGCCCGCTATTCGACCTTGTCCTGAGGTTAACACGATCCGCATGCTCGCGTAATTCTTCGAGTTCTCTCTTCCTTTTTCAGGCCTTCTTACCAAGAATGAAACTCCCTTGTAACATACTCTTTGATCTGACCACTCTAATAATTCCGTTTATACAGAGACCTTCATCCCCAAGCATTTGGTTCGGTTTTGGTGACAAAGTAAACAAATACATCGTTGCTCCGAGTCACTGTCCACTTCTGCCACTCATCGCCGTCGGTTTGACGTATGGACACCCCTGTTTCTTGCAGAGGTGCAGCTTGGGAGGACGCTTTCCTGAGTGCGGTGGGGCGAGCCGAAGAAAACCACGTGTTCCGCTACATATCCACTGCCAGGTTCGCAAGTCGAACTCTGGACATCGAGTTGGAACGCAACACGCGGACCGTGGTGCCGTACTTCAGCACTACGTTCGTCATCATGGCCGCATTCTCGATGGTGTCGTGCTGGATGGCGGACTGGGTCCGCGCCAAGCCCTGGCTCGGCCTCCTGGGAAACATCTCCGCGTGCATGGGCACCGCCGCTGCCTTCGGCGTCACCATGTACCTGGGCGTCGAATTCATCGGCATCAACCTCGCGGCGCCTTTCCTCATGCTCGGTAAGTGCGTCGCCTTCCGCTGTACTTCGTGTCGGTCTGCGCGAAGTCCTTCTTCAAGATATTCCCCGCCTTGCGTCTCATTACTATCCTCTTATCAATTAAAGAGAAATCTTTGATGAATTATTAATCGCGCCAAATGCGGTCGATATGACACGACGTCTAACCCGTGGCCTCGCTGTAAGTACGACCTGAAGGACATTGAAGGTGGCGCCAGTGCCTTTCTGAACGGCAACTGAGTGAAATCGGACAACCGCGGCCTGCCCTCTCAGTTGCTTCGGATTAAAGTTAGAGTCGAACCAGGGACGTCGTTCGTCTTGGAAGCTCAGTTCCTCCAGCGTGACTTTGGCGCAGTCCAGTTGCACGTCGCTAAGAAGCCATATTGACGTGAATGCACGTAGCACCATCCAACGGAGTCCTTCTTGACAAACTAACAGTCGCTCAGCTTGTCAATAAATCCTGTGTCTTGGAGATTCATTCATTCACCTTGCTGAAAAAACTCCACCTACAATTCCTTTCTTGAAAAGGATGAATCCCAACCACATACAAGAATTTTCTTTAAAAATTAGTTTTAATATTATCTTATCATTCGCGCCTGGATCTCCCAAGTAACAGTTTTCTTTCTGATTTTGAAACCAAAATTAATGTGTATTTCTCATCTGTGGTCACAGATTGCTATATGATCGTGCCTTTGTTTTTGTTCGAGGCAGGTCTCAGCAAAGGGAAAGGAAGAAATGTTCGTTGTGCATTGCAACTGGCAGCGGACAGCCCCAGATAAAGTCCTTTCACATTCGCTTAAGTCGACTGCTCCTGTTTAATTCTTGCTTTTGCTACGTGACGTAAACTGCACTTTGCTGACACGCCCCCCCCCCTTGCAGTAGTGGGGGGGGGGAAATTCTATTTTGTCCTCAGTGATCAACTACTTCAGAAGTTTCAAAAGCACTTTAGCGGAAAAATGAGTACAGATTATAAATGCAAGATAATCGGAACCCACTCCTGACACGCACAAGGCAAAAATTAGTTAAATACTTAATTATGATGAAAAACTTAGGGCGGTGAGTCCGGAGATGGCTGTCTTCTGGAATGAGGCGCCGTGTGCTCTGGTAGAACTTCACCAATTTTTCAGAGGCTCCTGCTGCCTCCATTTTCAGGGCGATGTCTGCTTCCAGGTATCGGAATTGACGACACGTTTGTGATGCTGGCGGCGTGGAGGAGGTCGTCCGCTCAGCTGTCGGTTCCGGAGCGAATGGGCCGGATGCTGAGCGAGGCAGCCGTGTCCATCAGCATCACCTCCATCACCGACATGATCAGCTTCTGGATTGGCATAATCAGCCCGTTCCAGTCCGTCCGCATATTCTGCATCTACTCTGGTGAGCAGCAACTACCAACGTCGTCATTATTCGCCTATTTGACGACAACTTATAGACTTTGTTGTGTTGCCTGTGCTGGAGAATTTTGAGGGAAACCTCGGTCACCGTAGCCAGTGAGGTTAGGTTAGGTAGTAGTAAGTGAGGATAATTCCCGATTACGAACACACCCGAAATCCCCCACACTCGCACACAGAGACTGTTGACCGCGAAGTATTTTCCCTTGTTCAGGTTTCGCCGTCTGCTTCACGTTCATCTGGCACATCACATTCTTCGCTGCCTGTGTCGCCGTCGCTGGTTACGCCGAGCGCAAAAACCTACATTCCATGATCTGCGTCAAGGTGGACCCCGTATCCAAATCTGGTAAGTGCTTATTATGTCTTGTTACCACGCACCTGAATTCTCTATTGTTCTATATTTTCATCCGTAATTATTGTTCATTTGTAATCACGAAATCTGCCATTGTTCGAGGCTAATTATTGAAACAATACGCGACCTTCACTCAAGATGCAAGATTTGAGGTTTTCACGGCGGTGAGTCGCAAGATGGCTGTCTTCTGGGTTGTTGCGCCGTGCAGTCTGGTAGAAGTTCACTGACGTTTCAGTGAGGTCCCTGCTTTCTCCACCATCAGGGCGATGAGTTATTTTCTTCTATGCGATTGGTAGAAATGTACCCTCAGTCGGCGCGAAGACGTTTTCACATGAAATTGACTTTAAGATCCATGCAAAGCATTTGAAGGGTTTTGTTCAAAGCTAAATTGCGTCTCCAGATCGAATCTCATATGAATGAAGAAAATAACGCTCAGTGCAAATGTAGTGATGTTTTACGCACCGGAGGGCCGTAGTTTCTTAAGCAATACAATTCTTTAAGGTTTATATCTTAATTGCATCATGCTTGTGTTCCTCAATACAATACTTTTATTTTCCGTCGTTACACAAGCTTATTGTTAAAATCATATAAAATTTCACATAAAATTGTTACATTTTAAAATTGACGACATGTTTCGATATACAATTCTATCATCGTCAGGTCTATCAAAATTAAAATTAAAATCTGGTGTATCTGTTGCTCTGCTTATATTGCTGTACCAGTACTTTCCGAGTTTACCCTGTGTTAAGAATTTAACGCAACTTTAAAATCCTGTAAACTAAGCGAACTAAGATTACACTTCCCCATACTTTTGAGCGCAGGACGTGAAATTGTAGGTCGAATTCATAAACGAAGGAAGTTGACGCTGGATTGGTTTAATGACCTTCATAGCCTCCGCCGATCCGGAAGACAACTGATAGTCGGATATCTCCTCTGGTGGCGGAGAAAGTGATGCTTGCGTCATAGCGGACGTGAGCAGGCTCACACTCGCGAGCATGAAGCAAATGCAGCAACAGATGGGCAGAGTTAAGACGCGGTGAAAGCGAACGCTGCCCTCCGGCAAAAAACAGACAAATCTCAGACCGCGCACGTAAGAAAAAAGCAAACACCGCTCTCCTATGTTCAGAGAAACCAAATACTGCGTATTAGTTCCGGCACTTCTCCGCCTTTGACGTTAAAGAAGACAGGAGGAACTACTTTCTTTGTTCTGCCTGTTCAAATCTTTCACAACGCACAGCCATTACATGACGCAACATTACGAAATACCACGTGTAGAACATTAACTTCTTTTTGTGAGATTTGAGATTCTCGCGATGACAAATCTCGCTTCTGGTCTTCTGGGACGTCGGTAAACACCTTAACATTTTAGATGACGACGCTACAACACCACAATCGATATTTTAATAAGTCTGAACTGATACCTTCAAACACACAACTTTTTCTCCTTCAACGAAGTTAGCCAAACATTAAATGTTGAAATCATACCAGTTTTTTTAATCTGGGTTACGTTTTTAAACCCAGAACAAAACGAGTCATTGATTTATTCATGTGGGTTTTGTTGTAATTTAGGGTCGGTAGACCTGGTAACCGGAGATACCACCTTCAAGTGTTCTATTTAAAGTCTGATACGAGGGCCGTAGATTTTGACAGAAGTTCGAGTTTTCGATTACTATTGGCATGAGAACGTCGACGGGATTTGCGTACTGAAGTAGACAAGGACACCAGCCACATTTGGATAACATGTGTACCTCCCTCCCAGTAAAGAAGCAGGCCGGGACAATTACTAGCGATACAATTAACCCTTTGAAGCCGAAGATCGTCTGAATATTATTTATGAATTCAGTCCGTACCGCGAAGAAAACACTACACCTCACCATTACGAAAATCAGCTGGTTAACCCTTTGAAGTAAATATTTTCCCGTTACAGTGAGATTCATAGTTCGTCTGATTAAGATTTAAGAATTGAGTCCGTACCGCGAAGAAAACACCACACTTCACCATTACGAAGATCAACTGGTTAACGCTGTTTAAAGTAAATAATCCACATCTTAAGTTAACGCAAACCCTAAAAGCAACTCTGCAGTTTGGCCGCGAAGTATGTCATAACTGCATAAACAGAAAGCCAACTCTAGAAATTTAAAAACGAGGAGTAACTTACTCTGGTACCCAGTAGAAAAACAATGGCGTGTCTTTGGGATGCTCAACCGCGGGATGAATTTTCACAAGCGAAAAGAATGTTGGAGAAGCAATTACGTTACCGAAACCACTACGGCTCGAGGGCGAAGATTCATCTGCTGGTGGCCGTAAGGCCAAGGCAAGACCCGGAGCGAGGGATAAGGAAGGATCAAGAAGATGGGTAACGCTCCTGAGGAAGATGTCAAACGGAGGTACGTACTCGCCGTCCCACGTCCTGATTTGGAACAAACCGAAATGACAAGAGCTGTCAGCAGAGACCGCTTTTAATTTCGAAACATTCGCTGACCTTCAAATTGCGCTGTAGTCTGTGAACCAGGGGGTCTATAAGTCGCTAGCAACGAAGTCACAAGAGTCAACCCACACCCGCTACTTCTGCAAATTAAACGCAATAATTTCACTGAGTTAGCTCTTCGCTGTCTTCCCCTCTCTCCCTCCCACGAGCGTACTTGTAGCAGTCATCCGGGCTCGGAGTTACTCTGCGGCACGTAAATCTAATAGACCAGAGAGCGGTTTAGGCCAACCTAATCTCGCAATGGATGACAACAATCATCTGCTCCGCTGACAAGCTGCATTTGAAGGCCGGTTATTGTCGTCCCCGAGTACTTGAATTTTGAACGGTTTATCGGCTATCCTTACATTCTGGTTCTGTCCTGATTTGTGATGCCGAGACATGGTCATGTACTTTGTCTCTTCTCTAGACCAACATCCCTACTAGCCCTTAAGAATGTTTCTGTTATCGCCCAACATATTAATATCATCGGCATAGACCGACAGCTCCAGACCAATAACATTGCATTTTCCGTAGACAAGAAATCATGGCTGTACCGCAAGTTCTGTGTGGGAGGCCTAGACCTCGATGACCCAGATAACCCAAGGGATAACAAGGAACATTGCATCATGGCCTATTTCCGCGACAACATGGCGCCGTTCCTGAGTCGGTGGCCGGTGAAGGTGGTGGTCATGACGACCTTCGTCTGCTACATTGCCGGGGCTTGCTACGGCATCTCAGTCATGGAGGAAGGCCTGGAACGGCGTAAACTGTCACGGTCGGATTCCTATTCTGTGGAGTTCTACGACCGTGAGGATTTTTACTTCCGGGAGTTTCCATACAGGATCCAGGTAACGTTATCGACAGTCATTAAAAGAAAGAAAGCCCATCTTTCCAACTTGGGTTCTCCCTTCATATTAAAAACACAAGAAAGTCATCATCTCAGACAAGATCTCTGCAAATCTCACAGAATGTACAAGAATACATGACATCACAACCCATAACACACACACCAGTAACGAAAGAGATATTTCATTTTTTTTAAATTTACTTCCGTGTTGAAAAAAAAGAAGATGGTACAATGTACCACTGTGTAATAAATATGTTAAATGTCGACAGGTCATCATTAGTGGAGAATTGAATTACTCAGATCCAGTGATTCAAGCAGAAGTGGAGAATCTGACCCAGACATTTGAGAACACAACTTACATCTCATCTCCACTCTACACAGAATCATGGTTAAGATCTTTTGTTGGCTACGTTCGTCGGAACCAAGATTACCTCAACGTGTCTATCGATACTGAAGATGACTTCATCAGGACACTGAAAGAGGTGAGACGTAACTTTGTCTATGCTAATCAGTTACCTTCAGAGATCAATTATAGAAACCGAACGCCAATCTGCGCAAAGAATCCAAAGCATGAACATTCGAAGGTAAGATTTCAGGAATCAAATAATTGACCAAGACAGTAATTTTGACCTTCTAAGATCCAAATTCGAGAGATACGTAATGAAAATTTAACTGTTTTGTCAGTATAAGCCACACATTGAATGGAGCCCAAAAATGAAAATTACAGACAAAGGCTCTGATTAAATCTGATGTTTGCATCTACGTTCAGAGTGTCAAGAAATTTAATTTTGGTGTGCATCAGTCTACTGCAGTTCCTTTTTAGACAGAACTGTAATTTAACTTTTTCAAATCTACATTTTTTTTTTGGAGAGGGACAAAAATTGTATAAAAACTGAAGCATAATTTTGATTCCATCTACTTCTATATGAAATATATTTCTACACAGTGGACAGCAACTTTATGTAGAGAATTAGCGTTATCAATAGAATCACCGTTCTGTGCAGCGTCTGCGATCATGTCGGCTAGCAACAGATTTATCTGCAGTAAATGAACATCAAGACCAAAAATGTGTCCAAGGGCACAAAGAATGCACGTGTTTTGCCAGAGGCGCACCCTGAAACACTGTTTTCCTCGTTGCAGCTGTGGTTGTTTAAACCAAATCCGTTTTCCCTTGACGTGAAGTTCAACGACGACGGCACACGCATCATCGCGTCACGATTCCTTATACAGGCAGTTAACATCAGTGACACAAATGGAGAAAAAGAGATGGTTCGAGCCCTGAGGAACATCTGTCACCATTCACATCTGAACGTCAGTGTTTTTCACCCATATTTTGTCTTCTTTGATCAGGTAAGTATTTTACCACGTCAGTAGTTTTATTGGCAGTATTATTTATTTAATACTTCTTAGGACATCTGCGTCTTCAGAACTCTTAAGATTTGTCATTGGCCGACATGATACTATTAAAACGCCTATACATTCAAACAAAGTGTCTGAAATGCTTCAAAGTCTTCGTAGATTGTCAGAGATTCATTTGTTATTGTAACACCCCCCCCCCCC